TAACTCAACTTAGAGGGAACACTGCTCTCGCCCCAAAGGAAGAAGCTCCAAGCAGTGTACTTCCATTAGAAAGAGGCTCCCTTTCTTGGTGGTTCGTAACACTTAGATCAGATACACACCTTTGTGAGGCAATGCCACGGAGCCAGCACAGGTTGAGGGTGAGCCAGGAGCCAGGTCCAAAGCTGGGGTGCAGGAGCGGAACCAGGGGCAAGGCCCGGCACGTCAGGGTGGTGCTGGGGTGGGACCCGGCAGCCTTCGAGTGTTGTAGAAGAACAAGACAGGAAGTCTGCTCTCTCTCCAGGCCCCAGTGCTGGTTGCTGGACGGAACACCAGAAAAATATGAACTGGTTGGCATCTCTACCTGTGGGTCAACATTTAATTTTTCTGGCCCTCTTCCTGGGCCAGTAGTCGTGGACCCAAGATGTGTGCTTCGTTTCTCACTTACTCTTGGCTTCTCTGTGTTTCTCCAGGACCGCTTGAAAGACCTGAATGGCCAAGCCGACAGTCTGATGACCAGCAGTGCTTTTGACACCTCCCAAGTAAAGGACAAGCGCGACACCATCAATGGGCGTTTCCAGAGGATCAAAAGCATGGCAGCCGCCCGCCGTGCCAAGCTGAACGAGTCCCATCGCTTGCATCAGTTCTTCCGGGACATGGATGATGAAGAGTCCTGGATCAAGTACGTGCGGAAGAGGCTTAAACTTGTAGTGCTCTTTGTGGTGTTGTCCACGCAAGGTAGCTACTACGTTCAGGGGAGGATTATTTTTTTAATGTATTTTTGCTACCTTTTCCCTCTGGCATGCAGGGAGAAGAAGCTGCTAGTTAGCTCCGAGGATTACGGCAGAGACCTAACTGGAGTGCAGAACCTGAGGAAGAAGCACAAGCGGCTGGAGGCAGAACTGGCAGCCCATGAACCTGCCATCCAGGTAGAATCTTGGGATGGAACACAGTTCTGCCTGTTAATCCGATGCGGATCCTAATTGGTAACAGTTCTGTTACAG